CATCGCAGAGTGAAATACAGTATACTTCGCACATCGGAAGCCCTGGTTATGATCCTTGGTGCTTCCACAGGAAGCAAGATGGAATGAGGCAAGTGAGACCATTGGTCTCTGCTGACCACACATTTAGGACAAGAAGAAACGGTCTCAAGTTGCACCAGGGGAGGTTCAGGTTGGATATTAGGAAGAACTTCATCACTGTAAGAGTCGTTAGGCATTGGAACAGGCTCCCCAGGGAGGTGGTGGACTCATCATCTCTGGAGGTGTTCAAAAAACGTGTAGACGTGGCGCTTCAAGACATGGTTTAGTGGGCATGGTGGTGTTGGGTAGAAGGTTGGACTTGATCTTTGAGGTCTCTTCCAACCATAACGACTCTATGATTCCCTTCTGTAGCCATTCACTCAGCTCAAGCCAAAATCCAACCTTGTGCCCCAGGCTCTTGCAGACAGCCCCAGGGTCTACAAATGGAGGGACAGTTCCAAGGCTACATTTAAAAAAAATCCCAACAATCTACAACACACAAGCTAGACCCCAAATGCCTGTCCCTGTCAAGACAGACAGCAACAGTTAACAACAGCATTCACAGAACATCCTTACCTGAAGGGGAAATGCAGAGGTCAGAAATGCTGGACTTGCTACGTCCATAAACGGGAGGATGATCACTCGGCAGAGACTGCAGCTTCTCATCCCTATCATGACAAGAATTGGTATTGTTTTCTGGCCTGGAGGAGAAGGGAAAATGCAAGGTGATGAATGCTTGCAGTACAAAAAGTGGCATGACAGTAAATTCTAATTTCTTCTAACTGCCTGTCATGACATGGAAGATTTTGAAATTATATTTCATATTGCAAACTTGTGCTAAGGACATAATTTAACTGCGTGACTGTAGCTCCCTCAAACCAGCTGATGTTAGATGTATTTGAATTTAACATTTTTTCCAACTGCAATAGAAGAGCCGAGGAAAGGAAACCATAATTCCTTGCAGTCTGAAGGCCCAAAATACCAGCAGGACACTTAAAGAAAAAGACTCTAGCAGTGGGCCCAAGAAGTCTTCAGTACTTAGCTTGTTCAAGGATTTAAGATTTGCTCCTGAATATTACAAGAATTTCAGTTTACAGAGTAATATGCAATACAGACTTAAAGTAGATAAGAAGTAGAACTGTTGATTTCCCAAGTGAGGTAGATCAAAGAGAAACTGAAGTAGCTGAAGGACAGAACAGGGACAAGATTGCTTAGTAATAAGCAATAAAACACAGCAGAAGAAAGAGGGGTGAGAAAAGTGTGTGAAAAGAAGTTGGCAAACACAGAAAGTTTCCCTACCCAAAACCAGGTTAAGGTAAGTAGACTATATTTCTAGTTAGAAAGGATGTAGTCCAAGGAAGCAGTTAATGATTTCACAGCCAAAACAGTTTCTAAGGAAACAGCTAGCAGAATATTAAGTAGTTCAGTCCCCCTTGAGTGATCTCAGCCAGTGAGTCTTTAAAGAGCACGGGTGGGGAGGTGGGGAAGTGCAGCTTTCCAGTATTTCCTGGCACCCTCAGCTCCATACAGCAAGAGCTTGTCCATATAGAGATCCCACGACAATTCATCTGAAGTAACTAGAGCCTTGTCTACACTGGAAAGTCATAGAAAAATTAGCATGGAATAGTTGTTACACATGCAGTGGCTATTCTGCATTAATTTTCTGTGTGAATACTTCTATTCAGCACTAGAAACCTGCCCCTCTCCCCTCCCCTCCCCTCAGAGGTATGAACCAAGAACTCAAAGAGATACGTTATAGTATCTCCATCAACTGCTTCCTCTTTCACGATGTTTTTAAAGCGGACTGTGTTACATTGAATCTCACCTGAAGAAATTCAAACGAGTTATATTCACTTCAATTCTGAAGGCAAGCATTTACACAAAATTTTAATGTAATTTAACTACTCGGCTCAATCCAAAACTTCAGATAATTCAGATCAACTATCCTGGATTGTTCCTGGGTAGACAAGCTGCATAGGAGGCTAAAAAGTCTGACATATTTCATGCCATTTCATCCGATACAAACACAAGCCATTTAAATGATTTAAGATATGAAATACATCCAGTTCAGGTATTGCTTTCAAATTAAGGCAGCTAAGATTTGGTCACTTCTATTGTCTTCCTCTTGCAAGGCTTCCTAAAAGAGTATTTCCTTATTTTAGTAAATGAATTTGTACTAAAATTAGAACAGCATAAAAGCCATCAAAGCTTGTCCTTTTCTGTTGTAAAATGTAGTTCGAGAATGTCTTCATCTATTTACTGGAGTTTTGTTGCACACAAATCAGTTAGATATAAAGTACAAACTTCTTATTCAGGGTGGCATCTCATGCTTCCTACTTAAAACACGGGAGCACCAAACACTCATATTATTTCTACCACTTGGCCAGAGCAAGAGGGAAATTAATTTTCACATATTTTCACCATGTTAGATTTCTGCTGTTTACATTTTTCCTCCCTAGTTTGCACAGTGAGGCAATCTGTAAAGACTGCTTCACACCATCAAGCTAACACTTCTCTTAGATCCAAAGCCACCAAGACCAGTATGGTAGAAAGGTGTTTTTAATTTGTATCTAGCAGTGACCTGAAGCCATCCTGTGAAGGCATGAGCTGCACAGCTGTTCATAAGGAGATTCAAGTTTTGACAAAATATGGGACTAGCGTCAATCTGGTATCCCAGGATACTGTTAAGTAAACATACTGCATGGGTAGATGGTGGTAAAGAGGCACACGATCCCTTCTAGATATTATTTTTGATGCATAAATTGCAGTGCGCTACATGGCACGAGGAAATCAAAGCCACTCCTCTGGGTTTGCCACTGTTTTTCTGACTTCCCAGCGGAAAGTCACTTCATTTTCACAAGCTTGTTTTTCTCTCAACTGATAAAGCCGGAATGTAATGTTTAGACACTCCAGTGGTAACGAGGATTTATTTCTGAAAAATACTTTCTAAATAGGCTGTAAGGCTACCCTAACAGCCGATTCCACAGAATCAGTCCAGGTATCCTACCCCACCATAGGCAAAATACTGTGCAGGGAAAGTGGGACCTTGAACTCAGTAACACTGACCCTACAGTAAAGTGGCACTGTATATTTAGTCATGTATTAGCCAGTTTAGCTTTCTAAACCCTCCAGTTCTTTTGGAGGACTGCAGGAAAATGATTAGATAATCACTATGCTACTAATATGAGCTTATATTAATTAGCTGCTGTCTTCTTCTTACACATGAACACACACACATTTAATATATAGGGAGAGGGCTTGCAAAAGCTGTAGATGTTATGATGGTGCAAAAGTTGACCCCTATGAGAAAGGACACAAAATAAAAACTTCAAATCCCCATTCAGGCTATACCAGGCAGAAGAAGTAGGCGCCAAGTTCAAACAGATGCCATTTTTTCCAGGTTAGTACTCAGAAGAAAAATCAAGACTCTACAAGACAAATTCTGCCCTGGGATAGCCAAAGGTTCTTTTTCTGCTTTGGAAGTGTGTGTTTCATTCATCTTGCTTTTTAAAAAAACCAAGAAATGTCTTCTAGGGCTTTTTCCATGCCCAGATCTGATATATTACACTTGTCCATTCTAATGCTGTAGTAACATAATCAACATGATCCCATATGAATGGTTCAGCTGCCAAAAAGACCTACTTGGATGACTCAGGATGGCTCCCAGTCAGATCACCTGCTCGTACAAATGCTAATGCCAGCACAAGACAGTGGGGGGGAATAAACATGGGCAAGGTAAAGCTGTGTCCACTCCCTATCCAAAACAGTAGACTTCCATCAGATTCAACTACACCTATGTAACTACAGCCTAAATCAGTCCTCACTGTTTTCTGTATGGATCATCCACACGATAATGAGGAAGAAACATATTTTGAGAAACAGAGAATATGAACATGAAAGCAAAGAGTGACAGGGGGATGACACAGGACAGTCTTCAGGTAAGAATGACCTCTCCATTCCAACTTCATTACACTGTTGTATTTCAGGTTACCCATTCATTTTAATGTACTTAGCTATACCAATACTGTGTCTTTTGAGTATTATTATCTATACTTTGTCAGAGTGACTTGCAGTCTCTCAGCTTAAGTATCTGCAGAAATGAAAACATTAAATCCTCACGTTAAACTGCTGCCTGTATTGTAGTTACCTGGATTTGATCAAATCCAAAACTGTATGCAACTGAAAGTTAAAAAATCATTTAAATATGAGATCTCATTGGTATTTTAGTTCCTCAGTCAGGACAGTGAAAAGGAGAAGTCTCATCTCAGAAATTAAAAGATTAAGCTATACTTGGACTAACAAAAGGCAGAACATATTCAAGAGCTCTATACTGTAAGATTTCCTTATTCCATTTACAATGCAGTCTTCTGTCTCTGACCCCAATCACACCAAGAGCAAGGTGTCACAGATCTTCCCGCTGGAAAATGTATTTCTTCCAAAGTAGGAAATCCAACATAACAAGATCTTTGTCTTTCCCATTTTCTTTTTAACCAGTCCTCTTACGAGTGGCTAGCAAATCTCCCCAGAGCAATATACTTTCTTGCTTACAAATTGGAAGATCCCAGGCATTTTAGACACTCCATGCAACTTACCAATAGAATATATTATGAGAAGATGAAAGGACTATGAACATGCAGGATATAATGCAAATTTAAATCAAACTGATTAGTGAACATCTACTCAACTATTCCAAGTATGTGACCTCAGCCAATGGACATTTCTCTGCCTACAATATTCTTCTCCTTTCTTTTTTTTAAATTATCTTTAAGGAATGACAATGGCAATGCACTTTTAGGTAGGGAAGGTTTTTTTATCAGACATTGCTGTGGGTTTTTTTGTTTTGTTTTTTAAAGGAGCTTAAAAAAAATCCAACTTGGACTCATTTGTTTGGACTTACATTAGGTACACAGTTCTGCGATAACCTGGCGTCACAGGTCTCTGAAGAGGCTTATCTATACTCTGACGGACTCTAGGAAACAGCTGCTTCTTGAGTTTTGGAGTATGAGTCATTATCTGATACACAGGAAATAAAGAAATGCAAAAAAAAAAAGAGAATGCAGTGGAAAGACAGGTTACTGGAGCCATAGAGAACATTCTATAGAAACATTGCATCAGAAACTAAGCTGCATTCTGGTGTCACTAGGTAAAATTGACTGGAATCACTGTAGGCTGTTCCATGACATCTTATCTCAGGTCACATTTCCATCATCAGCATTGGTAGGCCTATGGACTCCAGGATCCAGAAGGCATAGTTACATTTATCTCAAATTAGTCACAGCACACTAAATGGCACTCATGCAAACTTTACGCTTTTTTACTTAATAGCTTTTTGTTGCTTGAGGTAAGACATACAATACTTGATCTGGCATAATGCCTGAAGGAGCAGTTAACTTTTCAACTTTTTTTTTTTTTTCAAAATAATTTCAGACCAGCAGAGTGTTCTAGTATAAACTTGCTCAGCACTTTGCTTTGTGTGCCCACAGCCACAGATGTAGCACTAGAACCCTAAGGCTGCCTTTAGCTTATTATTAAGCCACAGCCTGACCACCTCCGGTGAAAGGGTAGCTACCTTTCTCAAATTTACTATTTCTGAACAGCAGCTAATAAAACAGACTGTGAAAGATTTGGACTGCTATGCAGGTAGAACCCAGCTCTTCAAGCAGCAAATTGAAGAAAAGATTTTAGAAAGTGATGAAACTACTGAAATTAACCACTTAATCCAGTAAATTAATTTATTTCAAGATCTTCATGAGTGGTACTCACTCCCAAGTACTCAGTTGTTAGCAGCTTCTCTCCTGCAAGCTCTCCCAGTTGAGGCTGCAAAACCTCATCTTTGTTCAGATCAGTCTCCATGATGTTATGGTCCTCCTGCAACAGCAACATGCATTTTACTTGAGCCCAGGTTCCAAGAAGTCTTAATTTCAAATTTAGTTCTCACTTCAGTAGTCACTTAGATGAGATGTACTGTCCAGATAAATAACTGTTAGTACTGCACATGTAAGTGGTAATGTACAAGCATTTCCCACCAAAAAGGCAGATACCTAAAGACAAACTCACCTAAACTTTTCATATACCCAGAAACTAAAGAACCTTGAGAGAGAAAAAACCCACCCATTTCTCCTCAAATGCTATGCCAAAAAGTACCGTAAGCATTTCAAAAGTTGTTCTCCTTCAAATTTCCAACCCCAAATAATTATTCCTTGCTTGACCTAGTAAAAGCTCAAGAAAAAACCTGTCATTAGTATCTTTGTAGAACACCGCACGCTAGTCTGAAGAGATGCAATGTTCTGTCCTTAACGAGCAGCTGGGATGAAGTTTGGAGTTTTAGTTTTTGCAGATCTGTCCAAGTCAATCCAATCAGGATTGACTGGATTTTCAGTACAGACTGAAAAAAAACCCAACCTGATGGCATTTCTCAGCCACATTGGCGGCTGAGAAAAGATTACCCTTGCTTTAAGAAAAAACAAAACTGAAACTTAAGGTAAGTCAATTCTAAAAAAAAAAAAAGAAAAAAGAAAAAGCACAGTAAAGTTATCATTCAAGCAGAGAGGATGGTAGGAAACTTGACAGAAAACTTGTTACGTAGATAGATCTTATTATGTATCAGTATCATCTGATAGTAGTAAAAGCATAAATTTAAGTTAGACTATAACAGGTAGAAGTAAAAATAAAGTAAGGACACCTTAATACAATTGATAGTCTTTTGTGAACATGCTAGCATTCTATGAGATCCAAATGCCCATATGCATATTGAGCACTTTGGGGTATGTCCCTCTACCTTGACAAAAAACACTGAAGTAATTTATTGCTGTTTATTTTCCAAGAAGGAAAAAAAACTCCGAACATTCTATTACTCATTTTCAACAAACAGAGGCATAATTTTTAATCACGCAAGACAAAAAAAAAAAAAATCCTTATTGCTAGGCATTCAAAACCCCTCCTCAAGGTTCCTGAAAGGTGAGACCACAGGTGTCCGACAGCAGCTGATTTTAGAGCAATTGTGAAACAGCAGCAGCTACTGAGGTTTGCAAGGAAGCTTTAAAGTTGACAATATGGGGCTGCTACAAAATTCTTGGAAACAGTACTTTAGGATACAAATATCAAACAAGAAGGCAACAATCCTCTGCTGACTTTATTCCACAAAACCCAAATGTAATCAACTTTTCTCAAGTGAAAAGTACGAAGAATTCACTCTCCTGTGCCTATTTCTAGTATAGCTATGGATGATTCATCTTTCATGGAAGTTCTGCAGCTTCTACAGATCTACAAGCCAGGAAATTTTAAAGCTTGAGGGACTTCTCCAGCAAACCAAAAGTAGTAATACAAGAAATAAAAGAACAAGATAGTATTTTTTGCTTGTGTTTTGTAACTGAAAAGAATTCTCTTCTGTGCTGCACAAGATACCCTAAATAAGACACACCCCAGGTAAAGAAAATGTGCTTTGCTTTTGAAACAGGTTGTGATAGTAAATATAAATGACTGTCAGAAAAAAAGTAAATGAATCATTCTAATAACTGTAATAGTAATGTAAACAGCCTGGCATAAACTCCATTAAAAACAATGGCCACTGAACTTTGATGAGGCCCAGAGCACAAAGAAAATTAAAAGCATTTTTGCTTTAGTGAGATTTAGACTCAAATAGTTTTAAATAGCCAAAGTAAGAAATACCCTCTGCCACAAAGATTAGCCAATAATATGGATGCTTGGACAGTGCTCTACAAAAACAGCATGAGAAAAAAAAACCTAAACATTGGAAGTATGTACAGGGAAGGTTTTCCTACAATGGAAATGGCTGATTCCAGTCTTTGTTTGGCGCAAAATAGCAAGACTACCATCACTCAGACCAAGTAGGTGTTGGCTTCCCCAGAGCTCTACAGGGGTACCTTTTTTTAAGTTCAATGACCTCTGTACCAAATAGCCTAAACCCCATAATTTTTGTTTTGGTTTAGTTATTCTCATTGCTCATGACCTCCTCATTCACAGGCATCAAGTAGAGATAAAAAGTACAGACACAAAGGGCTCAATTCAGTAGCCCACAGCACCATCCAGTTCTACTTAGAAATATCCTGCCTGGTCTTCCACTGCAGCTCTAAAAGGGCACAAGCTTCCCACAGGTCCCAAGTCATATCTGACAGCCTTGTGCAGGTGCTTCTGATGCTGTAGTTAAACTTGAGACATTAGATGCCTGCGAATGAACAACTGAAGCAGTTGCAGAAATACTGCCAATAAGCCACGCAGTGTTCTAAGGTTTAGAGTAAAATTTTTCCATAATTTTTTTGTTCATGTATGGATTTAATAAAAAAACCTAGTTCTTCTGTAAGTGCTTTGAAGATACCAGATTGTTAATCCTCTTCATCCTCCTAAAGATGTATTCTCTAGATGCTCAGCCATAAAAGGCTGTATAGGACCTCAGCAAGATGTTCAATCTGCCTTTCTCTCCAAGGTAAGATAAGTTAGTCAGCTCCTAATTACCTGGGAAGCTGGGTAGGTGTGAAAAATAACCCAAATAATGGAAAAACACAGATACACACTTGTAGATTGGGCAACAAGCAAAACAAAAAACCCCCACACTCCAAACTCTACAATATACTGTACTTTGAAAAAAAAAAAAATTAAAAAGCTGCAAAGATGAGCTTTATAAATAGTCTGGTGGAATTTATTTTTTTATATGGTATGTTAATGCAGCATTAAGAGCTAACAGCTTTCTTCAAGGATGCTTTACAGAAGATTGCCTACACTTTGCCTAGGTAGAGTGTCACATGTTACAGTCAGAACATCACCCTGCTCTTTCATCCAGCTCTCTGCATGCATGATGTATTTAACTTCTCCTCACAGATTGCCTTGGTTTCCCCAGGTTCCGCCTCTTCCAACATTCTGGCTGACACCTTTTGTCAGACAGAGAACACCAGTTTCTGGGAAGTACCTCTCCCTGCCAACCTTGCTCTCTGATGGTATTTAACAGACCAGGTAACTGAGCCTGAACATGTCCCTCCTCTGCCTCCTTGTACAGAAAAAGAGCTTTGACAGACGTACCATCATTCCACTGCTGAAATAACACAATTGGTGCCCTGTTCACCAGTGCTCACAGGCTGCACCAGACGTTGGCAGCAAAGTCCTTTAATGTAATGGCTTGAAGTCCTGCAATTAGGTCTGCGATTAAGCTCTCTTTCTTTTGATGTACTCTCTAGCTGAAGCATATTTTCACACTGCAGTTTACTGATTTTATTGCTGGGTGCTGAGTGATGGGGGATCAGAGGGTGTCTGATAAATCATCCCTGGATACTTATCTAATATAGCTCAAATTTGTAACTAAACTTTTGAATTAGAACTACGATATCAAATATTCACTTTTACAAGCAGCTTTTAAAGATGGTCCAAGTCAAATAAAAAGCAAAAGTAAAGATCAAATACTGAAGATAAATTAAGTTAGTATTTAACAGAACAGTCAAGGCAATATTAAGCACCAGAAAATATGCACTGTGACTGTGGTTGTCAACACAGCCCAGACGGCTAACATAACAAAAGTTGGGTATGTACTCCAGAAGCCAGTGCATCCTGAGTTGTACACTAGTTAATTTAAAGCTCAGTAGACAAACCTAAAAGCCAATTTATTTCTGAATAACAGTATACACACAGACACTTTTTGTTCAGTTTATATGCACCAGTGTCACACATTACAGAATCTTAAATTTCTGAGTGTATGATGCCCTTCGAAATCCCAGAATTATCCTCCAACAGGCTCAACCACATCTTGGCAACAGTGTTTAGGAGAAAGTAGTCATTACCACAAGATCTGCTCAAACCCAAGAGAGAATTCAACAACTCTAAATTAAACACAGATAAAAGCAAAAACCAGGAAAGGTAATAGTAACAGCATAGGGAACCTTTGGATGCTCTTGCAAACAATGGAAACTGGGGAAAAAATCTGCAAACTAAGTCTGCATAAGAGTGTCTTTTTGTTGTTCCTTAAGCTGTGAAGGTATAAATACTGGTATCGAGTGGATCAGCAACAAATTATAATATCAGTAAGCAGTCTCAATGCACGTCACTGAATTGGCAATATATGGACATATTCTGGATTACATTCAGTCTGTAGTCATTTAAAAGTTACGTAAAGGCAAGACTTCTGATAAAGTTTTCCAAAACCTTCTATTGCCAGATTGCAACATCAGATGTTATCACAGAACCCCAAAGAACTCCCTGCATTTCCAAAATACAAAAGGGCTCCAAGCATTGAGGCAGTAAGTCAACAAATCTTTGCTTATTTAACAAAGTAACAACATTATGCATTTTGTGTATCATTTTGCTGCTGTGCTGTTTGTAAACTATATTTTCTAAACCAAAGGACTAAGAAACCAGGCATCCTTGCAGCAGAATAGAATTGTAGTTCCCAGTACCAATAAGAATTTAGGACGTGCCACAATTAATGTTACACTAGAAACAGTTTTAAAATTGGCTTAATGAGGCCTTTTCTTTTTAATATAATAGCAAAGCTAATGAAAAATTGGAATCAGACACTTCTCCGTTTCAAAAGCTTACTGTTATTTTTGAGTCAATAAGAAGTGACAGAAGTCCATTTTAATCACATGATGGTTCAGTGGTAAAAATACATTTCAAAATTATTTGACCTAGAACCCTGTCTGGGATTGTGAGCAGCAGCAACTTGTCTAGGTGGTATGACTGAAAAGGAGAATTCACCTTCCTTTCATTTCCAAGAGCAGCTGAAGTAATCAAAGTGTTCAACACTATCGTGCAATTCAATGCCACAACTTTCATGAAGCAGTTCCTTATCTCTGTGCTTTCCCAACAGAACACAGTATCCTTCAAAAAAGTATACTAAAGTTCAAGCAAAAATATCACCACCTTGGATTCTCACGATACACCTAAGACACTCAGAGTCTTGGAACATCAGTTAAAGTGTGTTAAGCAGCATACTAAAAAAAGGGAAGTTATAATGATTAGTCCCCAGAAAGCCCATCTTGCACATCAAGCATTGATTTGGGGTGGGAGAAGTGAAAAGATTACTGAAAACTCACTTCAGGACTGCAGGAGGTGAAACAATTATAATAATCTAATCCTATTACGAAAAAAAAAAAAAACAACAGTTTAGTGTACTCCCTTAGAACAAAAGGGGGAAAGCTAATTGTTAAATAAAACTTCCTTGTAGCTCTAAACTGAGAATTTCCACATAGCTCTAAATTTAGGCAAAGTCACAAGGGTAATTACTTCAAGCGTTCACCACCTACTGTCCCACAACACAGAAACTAGCTAAATAACGCAACCAGTGCAAAACTTCCCTGGACACTGCCAGGCAAAGGCTGGATCCTGCAAGGTGCAGCACCCCACGGCAGCTGCGAGCACACCACAGCTGCTACAACTGCCCCATCTCTGGGAGTGTTCAAGGCCAGGCTGGATGGGGCTTTGAGCAACCTGGTCTGGTGGAAGGTGTCCCTGCCCATGGCAGGGGGGTTGGAACTGGACGGTCTGTAAGGTCCCTTCCAACCCAAACCATTCTGTGAATTGGGATATTTACATTTTTCTCTGCTTTCAAAACATAAAAGGCTCAACGTGCACTTGAAAATGCACTCAGTCACCCTGCTGTAACAGGGCAAGTTTTAGCCCGTAGCATGGTTGCTGCTGTTGACTAGCCTTCGCATTACTGTGCAACAAGCTAGTAGAAAGTGGATGCAACTGACTTGGTAAATTTTATGTGTCTTATTCTTTGTTGGTTCAGGACAAAAAGTTACATTTTGTCTAAAAACTTGGTTTTCACTAAATATGTTCTCCAGTAATATTTCTAATACAAGAACATTTTGCAGAGATCATTAACTCTCAATAACACTGACTTCTTCAGGGCAAATACATGATATAAACATATGTGCACATATACTCTCATCTAAATATCTTCAAACACTGTTCCAAGGACATCTACCGTAGCTGTTCTTTTAAATTCCTCATGCAAGACTTTTCAATTAAAAAAAAAAAAGCTATGTGGTAGACTTCTTTCAGATAAAACTCCCATGTAACTGCCTAAACAGTATATTTTCAAACCCTGCCCTGTGCACTTATGGCAACATCACCAGTGAAGACTGGATTTAACATTTCCTCACATCATTTACATCTTACCTTGCTTGTTAATTTAGATGATCAAATATGTTGTGTTGTCTACACCTGGGATCCTATTACTCTATGAAGACAGCTTCTTAAAAAAATGCTCAAGTATTGGTATTAAATGCATTTACTAGCAGAGCTGGAAATACACAGCTAACCAGTTTATATTTATGATGATATAGTTTCTCAAGCTTACTTTCTCAATTTTTTTTCTTTTCTCTTCTTATACAATTTATTTCTTAATTTCTAACTACTGTTTTTCTTCATTACATACAGACAATTTATTAAATATATATCAAAGTTTCTAAACAGCAAGAGAAGTCACACTCTGACCAGATAATGATACCTTAGGAAAAAGTGACAACCTGTTTATAAACTATTCTGGTAATATACTGGTTCTTTTGCTTCCTTTATTTTTAATTGCTGAAATGGATCTGCTTGAAAGCAAGATTTCTATTGCTACAGTACCTCCTCATCTCTTTACTCATTTCAAGCTATAATCCCTTAGTTATTACAGAGGTGGTGATTTGCCAAACTAAAACAGTAGGGCTTCAAATGACGAAAAGGTAATGGAAACCGATCCAATTTTCTTGTTAATGTAAGAATAATTAAAGTAAAAAACAAAACCAAAACCCACCAAAAAACCAAAGTCTAGTTTATTGACACAAATATTTTCTGTCTAGAAGGTTAAGGATTTTTCTAAAATGTGACAGAAAGCCTTTATACTTACTTCCTCCTCCTTCTCTTCCTCTTCATCATCAGACACAATACTATCATTTAACGGCTCTTCTAGAAAGAAACAAAACGATGTAGGACTACATGTACAACTTAACAGAATCTCTAGTTATTGCCCCTCTTTTACAAGAGTAAGATTTAGCTTGCTTCTCATATAGAGATCCCATTCTTTTCAAGACAACTATTAGAATTATTTGCTCCTATAAAGCATTCTAGAAATCACCAAAATCAATTCATATTTGGGAAAGTGGCAGAAACAGACACACTCTGGAAGAGTTCTTTTCTCATAAATCCCTCTATGACATCTCAGTGTATTTACTGACAAGACGTTAATGAAAGTGCATGAACTTGCAAGTTTGTCTATTTTTCAACTAATTTTTAATAAAAGACTCTACTTCTCCCTACAAGCACTTCAACGCTATACTGCTTTTGTACGTAAAAAGATAGTACTCGCATAGAATACTTACTGTATCTTTTGGACAAACTCATTTCCTTAGAAAAAAGCAGCCAGCCTTATGCTGGAAATCTGTACGCTCAACTTTTACTCACCAATCAGATAAAACTTTTTAAAAATACCATTCCTAGGTAGAAGAGGAGTGGTTCTATAACCTTGATGAACAAATATTGCATAGGGGCAATACAGTGATTAAATACTTTATTTGACTTTTTACAAGCTAGAACCATAAGATATCTTGTCTTCTGCTCTTGCCAAAAGCCAAAGAAAGCAGTCAAACTTATTCTATTTTTACTGTAGAGAAAGATTTAATCAGAATTCACCTCCTTTTCATTATTTGTTTTATCTTTCTTCAGCCTTCGTTTCAGCCACAGGGAACAGAAAATACAATAAATATTCCACCTCCTCATACTTGTCTGTATTAACACAGCATCTACAACTCCTGGGATCCATCAACACACTCTCCAAAAAGGATGGTCTCTGTCCCCTATTCAGGATAAGTCATTTCAGATAACAAAGCTACACTCCTCAATAGAGGAAGAGATGAGCAGAGACAGACCTAGTCCCTAAATCCTGCTTTACAAATTGTATCACCTGCTTTATTTTTTCAGTTGACAGCAGTCTCTCATTATTGTGAGGCCACTGGCATGAAAGCAAATGGTCAATGTAATTTTTTTTACAGTCCCAAAACTTTGGAATTGACACCTACTCAGCCTTTTATTTCTTCTTTGTAATTGTAACACAAAAGGAAATTTAAAAATACATCTGACATTCAAATCCTGACATTCACTATTCACCCTCTCTCAGACCATCACGCTATTGTTATTCTGTGAGAGTTTCAATGCCAAGTAAAAACATGAGCTTCCTTATGGCTTTTGTGAAAGATTTACAGCTCAGATAGCTGCATCTGTTCTTCTGACCTGAATTGAGCTGCTTGATAACAAATTCAATCTGTTGGATCATCTCTGCATTTCCTTCCTTGGTAACGCAGTGCAGAATTTCTTCCATTCCCTGGATGTAGTGGAAAACATTGCTAGATTAGTATTTCATGTGACTACAGTGACAAAAGTTTTGTTAGCTAAAATGTCATTTTTTTGTCAGGAAAAAGAGAGACAGTGTGAAACAAATCACCATGTCCAGCTCTAAGCGCTCCACTTTGTCCATACATTTCCCAAAGACAAAAGAAATATGCTGTCTAGATTGCTTCTAGGTTTAAATACGTAAGTATCCATGATGAAGAGCAAATTTTTATGACAAATCTGCTGCTTCTGCCTTCTGAAGTTAATACACAGTAATCAACAGAAAAGGGCAAATTTGCATTCACAGAGACAATAATGCAAGGTTCAGAGAAGGAAAGCAAAACCCAGGATAAACGTTGATCTTCTCTTTAACCTAGTTTCTCTCTTTATGGCCCCTTATAGCCTTGATGTTGTGCCTTTAATGATTAAGGTGACTTTCAATCCTCTCTGCTCTGTGAGGTGAAACATCTGACAACAATTATGTCTGCATAACTCTCTACGTTACTTATTAAGATACAAAGATACACTGCTGTCCCAGGAACAGCTTCCTCATATCCAGAAGTTAAAACACATTCATTACCATTAGACTAACTTTCACAGGAGATCAATTCCTCATTCTGCTAAAACCGTCCTCCTGCTGTCTTCCCAGCCAACTATGTCTATACCAGGCAGAAACAGAAGCAGCAAGAGGAACTCATCCTCTTAGTGGCTATTCACTGGTGCAGAATGAGTTAAATAAGGGGAAGAATTAGCAGGTCAGATGAAGGCATCTCCTGGGCCATATCCAGTCTATGAAATGCTAGATGGACAACACTATTCTAAAATAACACCTTTAATTTATAATTTAGGCAGAATCCTTCACACTGCTGGGGCTCCACTTCTGGGAAAAGATCAGCAAATATGGCAAAAGTGTTTGAGATGTGTATTCCTATCTTTCTGAATATCAAAGGTGGAGGGCCTCTTGTGGATCTCCTTCTCAAAATGCCATGGCTCCTGCCTCACAACCCTGCGGCCCATTGCTCAACAAGTACCTGTGTGCACGCCATCGTTGGCATATGCATTGACCTTTGTGCTATGCAAAGCAGCACTTCTTACCATTGCTCTGGCTTCTTCTCGGACCAAAGGGACGGCAAGAATGCTATACAGTATTCCATTCACATATGGTTGTATCTAAGAGGAAGAAATAATCATACCACTAAGAAAAAGTCTTTCATTCATCCCAGCTGACTACAACCAAAATTTAAGAGTGAAGGTGCAGAACAACTCTGTTGAGAGAGTTTAATCAGGCTAGCCTGCACTTGCAAAAATTCTCTCTTGGGAAGCAGTGAAATTTTAAGATGCAAATATACTGTGATATGGTTGATTTAAATCAGTACTGCTGCATGCTGATTTGCCCCCCATCCCTACTGGAAATGTATTCTTGCAAATTGATCTAGCCCTAAAAAAAAAAAAGAAAAAAGAAAAAAAAAGACAGAAAAGCAGAAAACGAAGGTTAGTTTCTGACAAACACTAATGGCAGTACAAAAAATAGGACAAAGAACAAGGACAAGACTGTGTCAGCATGAACTCAAGACAGGCTTCAAGCATTGTAGCCTCAGGCAGGATAATAAAAGCTGTACCAGCTTCAAACATCCTCTCACTCTGCTGCCTGTTACTGTCCCTCAGCAGAGGCAAAAAAAAAGCCAGCACGAGCTCTGTATTATGGCTAGTGAAAGCTCCCAGATTTGTCAAACTAGTTTTATCAGCACTTACATGACCCTTTGTATTGGTCAGTTACTTTTGGAGCACTAAGATTTCGAGTCATTCTCGGTCTATACCCTTGGAAAAATGAACAATGAGCTAAGCTGGGAGCAGGGGAAGCAAGGAAAGATAAAGGTCTGGGATTTACACAAAGATTCTACAGCTTCTCAGAAAGCTCTCCTGGCACCCAAGAGCACTGCCTTCTACCTTCAACTTTGATAACAAAGCTTCTATCAGCTGTGCTGGTGCAAACTAGGTTGTAAGAATGCGCCCTCTGAGAGAAATTTCAAGGTCATTCTAAGGCACAGAATTCAACAGTATGATAGCATTTTCTATGCACTTCAGTCTAGGGTCTGGGATGTTATTTCGTATTAGTATGTATTGTATTAAACATTCATAATTCATCAAACAAAGCTAGTGAAAGAGTCCAAAAAAGGTATGCCAAGTTTCATCTTAATCAAAACAGTGCTAGTAAAGAACTGATCTACATGTTCTAATGAATTCATAAAAGGCAGACTAAACACTTCATTGAAATTTATTCTCTATTTTCAGTTTAAGTTATAAACAAAAAAACCTGATGATATAATCACTGTATATAAATACAGGACACCAGAGCTTATCTTTAATTTTTACCAGAAATCCCTGAACACCTTGCACAATCATTCTAGAAAACCCTGGTAAAAATCCTGCCTCCCTGATTTCAGCTTCATACTATATTTGCCTGCATTTTCTCCTGCCTTGAATTTTACTCCATGGTTAAAAAAGTGACTCTCTGCAGAGACAGCTGAAACAATGCTTTAGCAGACAGCAAATATCAGAGCGATGTGCTGAAAAGTATTAGCTAGAAATAACTAATAATTTTCAGCATTTTCCTCTGACGTAGTTTAATTTAGCACCTAAGATGCAAGTGTGTCTGGAGACAGAAAAGAAACGAACCACAAAAGGGTTAAGTGGCAGGTTAAATGAAGTGGTAGATAAAAGGATATTAGGACTTGAATGTCACAAGTGTACTGCTTTCTTATAGTACTCCTTACTACTACTAGCAAATTTGCTTCCTTGCACCTGATGTTTTGCATAAGGGGCTTGCACCACACATTGTTCATCTGTGAACAAGTTAAGCTTGAGGTGATTTGGTATGAGATTACATTGAAACAGCATAAGAAACTGCAATTAAGAAGGCACATGGATTGCAAGATAACTATGCATCTAAGACTTTCATTCTTAACTGTCAACATTTGTTAAAGGAAGACATAACTATGTCTAGAAAGACCAGCACCCAACAAAATACATAATTGTGAATTTTAGGAAAATTTCATGCAATTTAATTACATGAGGATCTAACAAGGGAAACAAAACCAATTTACTTTTTTTCCATTTTTTCCTTTCTAGCTTTTTTTTTGTCTTTAATTTTTCTTTCCACCTTTTCACTAGCCCAAAGTTTGCTATACAAAATACCTCATGATTCTCACGGCCAAGAAGATCAGAGAGAACTTTGAGCACATCGTTTGCGATCCTTGCACATATTTTCTTCCCTGCAAAGGGAGAAAACATAAATATGCTTGAAAAAAAGACAACAAAACAGATCAGAGCAAGCTTCTTTCTTACTACTTAAAATCAGCACTAAATATAATTTACACAGAGCAATAGCGTTCCTTGCTGCTGCCAAATGCTGCTCAGCATAACTGAGTTGAAATCACTGGAGTTACTCTGGATTTATACAGTTGTAATGTTGGACAGGACGCAACACAAAGGGATTTTAAAAAGTTTAACAAAGGCATTATTTTGCTCATGGCAACCAGTCCATTTTTCACCCTTACTTTCCTTTTTAAAAGGAAACTTACTTTAAGCTCCTTTTAAGTTTCTTGGACATAGACAGGATCTTATTTTCTTGGGGGGAATCTCTGCATTGTAGAAGTGAAGCATGCAAGTATTTCACTCCACAAGGTGAAGGTTAAGCTCCTCGCCATTACTCATCAACTCAGTTCTGACTTTCTTTTATACAAAACAAATCTCTTACACAAGTATAAAGTGTCCTTTGAAAAGTGGTCCTGGAATGTAAGAACAGCAGTCCTCGCATATAGATGCAAAAAAAATTAAAATCTTAGAGGGTTCCATTGGTTAACTACTTTCTAAATTCTTTAGATTTTGGTGAAGCTAACCTCCATAGTTTGGGATTCTTGGGAAAGAAATCTGCTCAAAAGCATTGGTTGTAACACTCAAATATCTGTGGTCATTTGAATCCCTGCTACTAATTATAGTCACTTGAAAGAATCCAGGTATATCAGAAAAAAAGATTCACAGTCTTCCCTATCCATTTCTTGGAATAAGGTGGTAATTCAAAATGTAAGACACCTGCACTCCGCAGACAAAGATTCATGAGTAAGGCAACAGAATACTCCAGCGCGTAATCAGACAGGCCATCTGTATCTGTTAGAACATCAACCAGCCAGAAAATGAGCCCATCTTTGATCATTTCCGACTGCACTGCACGCCTAGGATTAAAAAACAAAAAGCCCACAAAAATCAGACTGTAAATAGCTTTCAAATACATTTATAGCTAATATAGGCACATTAAAACCTACTTCATCTACCTGCTATACACTAGCCTGCCAACAACAAAAAAACCCCACAAACTCCCCATTTTGGCAGAATCAATTATAACTAAGGAATTAACAAAGCCTGAAGAAATTGAAGATGCAGATTCCTATAGAGTTAGAGGATTAAAATGTTGTTGGGTGGGTTGTTTTTTTTTTGTGTTTTATTTTTTTAAACCTGCATACTGCTGAGAGGAATTTCTTCATTGCTTTCTAAGGCTTCTATTCCACCTAAAATTGCATTTTCAGTTTTCTTAAAATTGGTAAAAAAAAGTCAGCTACAAACAACAGACCCATAAAACAAATTATTTACTACTTCTGCCATAGGTAGCCATAGCACTATCGCACTTTTGTACTGTTGATTTGACAAACGAGATTTTTTGCTTAAATTATTTGCTCTTTTCTGTAGAGATTCTTAAGTCACATATTCTTTTAACTCAAGCTGTAGTTGCCCTCGAAGAGAGTATAATGAATAAAGTGCCAGGTGGTCAACTGTGATGTCCTACAACAGAAATTCCTTGCTTTACAATACAAAAAAGAAATATATACTGGTAGAAAAGTCTTACTGAAGAACACCGTTTTTAATCACATTATTTCCAATGGATAGTAAGTCTAAATTACAAAGATCAAAGCAGGTATTTTCCTTGTCTTAGTGCTTGGGATTTGGATTATTCCTGAAATCTCATATGCTTTCTCAGTCCTGGATCTTGCAGCAGGTCTATGGTGTTGATTGAGCAAAACAAGAGACCATCTGACCACACATTAAAAAAAAGTCCCTCATGTCAAGTATCTGGAATTCACTTTCTATAAGATTAACTGTTATTTTTTAGAAATTAAACAACTTTCAAATTTTCAGTACCTAGTGCCTAGGCCCCAAAAATCAAACTAACTTGTACTATCAACAACTGCTTTAACAGAAAAATCATTTTCTTTAAGATTGGTTTAGGATTTCAAGCAGTAGGGTATGAAGATTTATTCTCTTTCATCTCAAGTATGTATAAGGAAGCAGTACAGAACTTTACACAAAGCACATTTACATGTGCTTCATCCAGACAAGTTCTAAATGAGGCAAATCCAAAAGCAGCCCTCATTCTTCAACAAGCCCAAACAACAACAAAGAAAAACCCCAACACTTGCAGTCTTAATTTAGAAGAAACATGAATGAAAATAATAAGAGCTAAACACATCCATCTACCTCCTTACATTTGGTTAACTATTCAGGGCTGAATATTTCTCCTGAGTACTGTGAAAACAGAGTTCCCAGGTTGTATTTACTTGATAAGCGAGAGCAACATCAGGCCCTTTACTGCTTTTGCATGATATTTCTTTTGTAGTGGGCATTTGAGTCAGACTGTTAATGCAAAAGTAAGAAACATGACAGTCCATGCATAGACAGCTCCAGGAAAGAGGATCAACAGGATGAGGATGAAATCCCTGAAAAATCTTTGTGGAAAGGATAATGAAAACCTTATGCTTTAGAATGTAATGCAACTCTTTTTCCTATGTAGGATCTTCAGACCTTTCTAATTAAGATTTTCACTTTGTTCAGTTAACAAATACATATAAAGCACACAAGGTTATGGTAGGAGATGTACATTTACTTGAGTCATGACAGCTGGTAGGAAGTCAGGTTAATTCAGTCAGCAAAACTGAGTTTTCCTCCATAATAAATGACACTTCTTTCATCAGTCATCAGAGGTTCTGATGATTGTTATGGGAAAATCAAGTGCTCTTCTTTCCTCCCTGAACAGAGCCTAACTAGCCCGCATTTCCTCCCCTGCTGTCACCACTGCGTGCTGTGCTTTCATCACCTGAGGCTGAATTTCTGCAGAGCCCCCAGAACATTCTCCCATGTAAGGGAATCCTTGCGTTCAGCTTCCAGTCTCTCCTCCAGCATTTGCAGCAACGTTGGGTTCTGAGAAAGGTAGACACGACCTGGTGCAAAAAGCGATGAAAGAACAGATGCTGAGATATCAGCTTATGACAGAAAGGCTCCCTCTCCTTGGAAAAGTAAGCAGGATTGACCTCAGTTTCTTCTTGACAAGTCACAATCTTGTGCCAAGACCCATACAAACCTGCACAAATGAGTTGTCTAGCAGACCAGTTGCATTCAATCCAGCCACTTGGGGCATTACAGGCCCACACTTGCCAATTTAGTACCACACAGAATCCACTATTCCTCTTTCAGTACAGGCTTTCTGATCTATTACAGTTTTGTACACTCTAGGAAAAGAAGGGAGATGTCCAAAGAGCTCGGGAAAGTTAAGTGCCCTACTGCTATTGACTTTAAATGGAATTTCAGTTCCTAGCAATAGTTAGTTCCTTAAGTAGCTAGGAAGGGGCTCGTTTGGGACAGGCAGAGATACAAAGCTGCATATATATGCAACCAAACAGTTAGTAGTTATGCACAAAGATTTCTTCAGGTGAGGACCAGGAAGATGCAAGAGCAGCTGCACTAACTACTGTTGCACAGCCCGGTAGCAGGTCTGCCTACAGGACCTTTAATTAACGGCGATTTTTCTTCTTTTTTTCTTTTTGTTTTTAATCCTCATGAAGAGACTGAAGACTATATTAAGGGCAGTACCTCGGTAAGTTCCCACATAGACCACAAATCACCAAAAGAAGTCAGAAATGTTGAATATACAGTGTCAAAATGAAAACTTGCCAGATACTGAAAAACTGTTTTGAACACACGTAACAAAAGACAGTGAATCCCTAGAAAAAGGGTGCAAATAGGGCTTTAAATTTTCACATGCACTGACATGCACTTGTGAAGTACCTATAAGCCAGCATTATATGAAAACGCTCTTTTTTTGCAGCGAATTTCTTACCTTTTGCCAGTGAAGCAAAAGCATGGATGAGCCTTGCCATATACTGTCTGACTATCTCACTTTTAGAATGTAGTAATTTGAGGACACTTCTCTGGAAAAGAAAGTAAACATTAATAAAAACTCACCAAAGGAGGAAAACACAAAGTTAGTCTGCTATAATGTTTTAAAAGCTTCATTATATTTTCACAGCAAACAAACTTTGAATGCATATTGATACCTCAAATAATGTCAGTATCATTTAAAATTTCCCAGTTTGTTTTTGTTTTTTTTTTTTTTTTTTATTGGCAGAGGGCTCAGGGAGAGATGGAAAATGAACAAATAAACAAATCACACCTCCTCGGCTCAATCTGTTTAAACACCATTAATCTCCAGGGTGGGAATTATAATGAACCAATACAGTTATCAGTTAAAGCTGATATCTAAAATTAATATTTAGTCAGTGACAAAAAAAAAAATCTGTTAATTTTATTGATGCACTTAAATGCAGTAATGTTACCTGAATAGGAATGCTTTTGTTTGACAACTAAGAGTGTGGGAAAGCAGCTCAGTAACTTACCAAGAACACCACACTGCAAACCATTTTTAATCTATTTTACTTCAGGCATTACTTAATACATAACTTTCCTTTAACAGAAATTTACAGGGAGAAAAACAGATCATTTATTTAATAATCCTTTAACTTTTCTAGTTGTACAAGTTACTGTTGCAATGACACTGGGACTCACAGCATAACAAGTAGGCCCACTGCTTCAAACAACTGGGGAACTCAAGTATGCACAAAATTCACTACTACAAATAAAAAGCGTTGCACTTTTGTTAGCAATAGTATTGGATTATCAGTGACTGAAACAACCTTTCAAAATCAACACACCAGCAACGCTCCTTTCTAAAGAAAGGTAACGAGCGATTCCAAATTCACAGAAATACTGTTGAACATGTTATTACAAGTGCATACTCAGATATTCCATAGGGTATTGGGACTGAAGTCCTGACGTAGTTCTCATCCTAGATCAGTGAAATGGATTGAGTGTATTATCTAACAATACATAATCACTCAAAAAGAGACATAGCATATGAGAAACAAGAGCTAACTCCTAAGAAGTAGCTAGGCTTCTGCTCAATTCTCACACATTAAGCAGCAGGAGAGGGGACAAACTTGTCTACAAGAACTGTATCTACATTGAGAGCTCTTGTAATGCAAAGTTTTGCCCATTAACATTTAAAGACTGGGATGCAGAAGTTAAATGCATCACATGATTCTGGCACTACTACTTTTTTCCCTTCCCCTTCCAGAGAGTGATAAAATTTTCTGATTGGCACTTTATAGAAACAAATGAGCAATATCACATAGAAGTTGGAGGAAAACCCTTTCCAGCTGACCTGACAGTTGCTTTGGCAATCTAGGAGGTCATTACTGATGTAGGCTTGCAGGATAGTGTCTCTCTGTTCTCCAGGATATGAAGTTGTCAAGCGCTAAAATAAATAACAACATAAACAAACCAGTCAAATAAATGGTAATGTGAACTGATGACCACTGAAGATTTTAAAGGTGCTGATACCCCATTGCTGAGAAGCCTTCTCACGGAGAGAAGGATTTCACCCTCAGTGATCTAAGGGAAAAAGATTAAATGAACTGACCTGACCTCAGCTCAGTGATCCATTACAAAACAGTTACTTGGGAGCTGTCATCACTGTCCATATAGGAAGGATACAGCATTACTTCCCATAAAGTTAAAAAGCCCCTCTAATAGCTACAGATGTGGTGTTTTTTTAAAACATCTGAGACAGAGTACTGGGCTAGAACCACCACTGGCCAGACCCAACGGATATTTTTTTTTTATGTGAAAATGGACACTGAAGCTTGATCAGAATTCCACTATTATCATCTTTCACGTCTGTCCCTTTGAACCCATCAGTTTCCTTTTCAGCAGGAAAATGTAACTTCCTGTTGTCACTTTCAATTTTTCTGAAATATCGTTATATGACCCAAGTCAACCAAAAGGTAGGCTCTTATAGATATACCTTGATTATAAATAAAAACTGGTGATTAGAGTCAGGTATTTCTTGGATACATCAATATTTCTATAAATCTAAAACAGGGTGATACATGGAAAAAGAAACTGCCTAAAACAACAACAATTTCTTTGAAAACACATCAGAAATTACTTCTCCTGAAGATCCCAGGAATTCCTATCTGGTTTTCTCCAATGAGGAGGGCACTGCTACAAACAGACACCTACTGCCTGGGCTTTCTTCATCATCTCAAGACCCTTAGCAAGCTTCACTGACACAGAGAGAAATTGCCTATAATGCTGAACTGATCACTAGAACAACCTTCTTGCTCACAAAATGGATTTTAGTTCTGGATCCCTCCAGAAGGGACCTATTTCTTTATTTCTGCTGAGGCCCTCTCTCTTACCCAGCACAGAGCCTGCAGTAAGAAGGCCTTGAGACGGTCGTTCTCCATAATCAAATCTTTCTTCAGCTTCTCATAATCCAAAGAGGGCAACAATGGCATATCCTGCATCTCCCTACAACACAAACGGGAAAGACATTCATCAAAACTCTCTCTCCTTATTCAGTGCAGCTGATGTTACTGAAGTGAGAAGAGCCAAAACAGGAAGTCTGCTTCAGGAAAAGAGCTTCCACATTTTTACACCTTTGTTATTTTATTACCATTACCATGTTAGAACAACTGACTTTTTAAACTTGGATTTATTTTTTCACTATGCGTGCAGCTCATTTACCATCATAACTTGCAGACACTAAATTCTAACAACTAGCCAGTTGATGATCTGTGCTTTTGAGTGGCACAGAAGAGTACAGTAACATCCTTTTTTGCCCTGTGTGGGCCACAAGGGCATGAGGGCAGCAGTTTGTGGCTCTTAGCGCTCAGTTATAAACAGATGCATTAAAAAGCTGCAGGTCCAACTTCACTTCTAAGCCCTCATGCACACAGAATTGTCTTCTCCAAGGCAAAGGTGGTAGGCTGAATGGATTTTGAGAGGTTGGACTATGCTTGCTTAACATAAGACTTAATACAGGACCACTTTCCATATACCAGTACTATCTTGCTATTTTAACACTGCAACAGAATTTTCCCTTAACAAAATTGCATCCAATCAATGCTTTAATTTTAATATTTAAATATATTCCACTAAATTTTTTTTACTCCTATCTTCCTATCCTACCACTTTTCAAAACAAATTTTATGTTATAATTGTCCCTTTAATTATCTTGTAAACAAGAGAAGGATCAAAACAGCGTCTCAAAAATTTAATAAAACCTTCACCTCAGATATACCATCTCTATTTGATCTTATAAGCCAAAATTTATTAAGTCAGTCACAAAAAAATTAAACTTGAAGCACCCAAAAATCCACATTACCAACTCCCCCTTTTCCTAGATTGGAGAGAAGCAAACCAATTACAACAGGACGACTGTAACGTGTGGAAACAGTAAAAAACAAAACAAAACAAAACAAAACCAAACAAACAGACAAAACCACAGCAAGCAACTCATAGGTGTGGAATGGCAGATTTACTGGATTAGCAATATCGTAATGAAACTAGGATGTTACTGAAACTGCTCAACAGAAGAATACAGATCATACAATATTTGCATACAATGTTCACCGAGATCAGAGGAAGCACACAGGGGACAAGTGATTCCCGTTTGCAGACAACTGGCAGTGCACTTCAGTTTACAAACCCCTCCTCCTCCTCTTCTCTACACGTATAAATGAAGCTCAGCATTGAATACTTACACAGTGGTTAAAGATGGTCTTAACATTGTGGAAGCCTGGAGCAGAAAAAGAAATTAAAGGAAAAAAAAAAAATCACAACAGGTTAGCCCAAATTTCACACCAACAGTGTTACTAATGACATCCACAGTGAATTCTTTCACTGAGGTTCTGCAGTTCTTTTCCTATAAAACCTATGTTGCAAAATAGAAACACAGCTAAAGAAAGAGAGGACTTCAGTGTTTTTCTTTTCCCTTAAAGTGTTTCACAGGTAAAAACCTCTTTCGTTATGATCTGGCTACGTTATCTTCACTGTCATACTCCAAAAATCACCTACACTTGAAGCATTTAAAAAAGTGAGTAGAAACCACCTTCCGAAGTCCCCCAAGGAAGATGAAGAACTTGCTAAACACATTTATTGACTTCAAAAATTTTTATACCTTAAAGTTGCAGTAATATTTCACTGGAGACCCAGCACGTATTACTGCATCCAAAGTTGCTATAATTCTTTGTTTCAACACTAATGTTATCAGACTGTCTGTTGCTACTAATATATACCCCTACATATAACTATTAATATGTAAAGAAAAGACTATGTATTCTAGCATGGATAAAACCAATATGGAAGAGCATGCCATTTCTCAGTGGTTATACCTAGAAAAAGTTCAATTTAAGGCTGGATATTTCCTCCCTAATGCAGTGTGACACAGAGCATATGCAGGCACCACTGCTGAACAATTAAAAACTTTAAAAATATTAAAATCATATAGAAGTTCCATATAAAAATTGTCTGCTTCAGTAAATATTTTTTGCTAGAGCTAATTGTAGGTGAGCCAAGAACCAGCAAATCTGGCATAAGAGTGCTTCCTATCATGCATTCTGATGTCAACTACATGCCATATTCACAGAATATTCCGTGTCATCTCTTTGTGTTGATCTCCCTACTCACTTTCTAAAAAACCTTTCATTACCACTTATGCCTTTAAAACCAGTCTTCTCTTCTAACCTAGCCTCTTTCAATGGGAGCTATATAATCGATGTCTATTGTCAGATTAAAAACTGAGGGATTTAGGAGACAAAAAGCATGAAATACCATAGGGAATATTGAATTACACCAGCTGACGTATTCTTGAACACACTACCTCATGGGTATCCTTCCTAATACACGGAACTGCTCTCTTAGATGTGAAATAAGTTTATACGCACATTGAAAAGCATTTTATATTATGTTTAAATCAATGAATGACTTGTACACAATAGACAATTAACAGGACATACACTTCAAAACCTGTCTTGACAGCTGTTCTCAATTCATAGTTTATTTTACTCAATACAAGTCTTTCAAAGTATCATATCCACCTAAACTGTTTTCCCCTCATTTACTTGTATTCATTTTCCTTAGCATGTTTGATAAATATCAAAAATTAACTTTTGTTTAAACAAAACTGTTTTCCCAGTCAAAACCTATCATCTTGTACCTAAGTGTGTAATGAAATCACAAATAATTTTTGTTGCCTTCCTCAGCACCCTTCTCCATTAAGGGAAATGGGGAAGAAAGTGACTGCAGTACATTAAAACAAAAGAAATGACAGAGCCCTTGAAGATGAGAAGGTGAGACAAAGAACAGTAGCAAGAAAAGAAACAGAGCAGGTCACTAAGAGTAAATAGATGTATATAAAAGCTCTCTGCTTCTCAGCAAAGTCCTTTTTACCCACCAATTCTCTGTTGCCTTAGAAAGAAAAACATGTGCTTTGACCAAAATCTAACTCAAGGATATGTAATTGCTAAAGGTACATGCATCACCCCTCCACACAAGTAAAACTTTTTGGCAAGTGTAAATTTTTGCAAGCTTTTATAAATTTCCAACTACAGAAGTTTCAATTGGAAAAACATTCAGATTTTTTAAAAAAAATCAATCACATCAAGCAGGACAAAGTCCAATGAATTCCCAAATCACTTTTCAAGTCGGCAGATGCAGCACAGCAAAGCATTTAGTAGCGTTTGGCTCTGTAGTCTACCTACACCAAAAAGGCACCACACAGTGAGGCAGACCCTATACTGGGTCTCTGAGGGCAGGACCACCGAGATGGAGAGCCTTGTCCACCACTCATTTTTCTGATCAGACCCAAGTTTACCAGTCTAGAACCTGTACAGGAAGAATGAAGCTTGCTCAGGTTTTTGGTGTTTCTGGGAAAGCAATAAGGATAGAGTTCATAGTACTTCAGGTTCAACAAGGCAAAACAGAAATGGGAAAAGTTTAAGGGCTAGTTTGTCCTTCACTGCACCTTCATCTCTGAATCTACGGTCAGCACCACTGACAAGCAGAAAGAATGCAACCATGTTACAGGCAGAGATTTCCTTTCTTCATCTTCAACTATGATTGCAATTATAGTCATAGATAAGCTAATCTGTATCCGTCCAATATGGCATACTGAACAAGACATTGGCTTGGTTTTCAGGAGATAGGCTTCTAGTCCTGATTCAGCTACCGGCTGCAGACAGAATTTAAACATGTAATTTCACATCTCTGGGCCTCAGTTTTTCTCATCTGATGCCTGTATCTGCTTTCCAATATCTTGAACAAGCTGGTTTTTGAAATCTAGCAAGGAACGGTAGTGTGCAAGAGCTAAAAATTATTATTTTGCAATTAAACAATTGAATGCTTATGGCACAACCACCACAAACAGAAACCCAACAGGTCTAGTGTTTGATTATGACAGAATAATTCTGCAAAATAAGTTAACAACAGCTGATACAGTATAGTAACAACTCTGGTACAAGTTATTTTCCTGTTTTAAAATTTATTTAGGCCTCTATTTTAAGTAATTTTATGAGAACAAGTATTGCAGTAAAATATTGCTAGAGAGTTATATTTCTGGGCATTTCTTGGCAGTCAGGCAACCCAGCAGCTCTCCTGTGGCTTGCAGGGCTATGACTTCAGGGTCTGCGCTACCTTGGGTCAGAGAGCCGAGGCAGCCTGTGAAGCGCACAGCCATGCAGCATGCTGCGGGACAGCATCGCACGCTCTCCAGCTATTGCTAAATGGGTCTGAAGAGACTTTCAATCCATTTAATTTTCAAACAAGTGATCCAAATACAGTACCACCAAGTGCCAATCATTCAATTCAACATCCAGGCTATCTCTCACCATAGACTTCACATTTCATCTTTTTATTCTCGTTTTTAAAGAGGAGAGACATTCGGCACCCCCAGCACCACCTCTGCACCCATTCCTCGGCTGCTTTTGCCCCATGCCTCATTTTTAATGCCAGCAGATTTGACCAGTTGGAAGCAGCAGTCTCGGCAATAGGAAACACTCGGTTACAGACTCGGTGGAAATTAAGCCTGGGGGATACAACCCATACTCTGCTGAAACTTCCATGGCTTCCTTCACATAAACATTTCTAATTAAAAGAGCAAAATACAGACCCATCCTAACATTTCATTTTAACTTAGTTTAATACTCTTATTCCTTAAGCAGAGTGCTCTTCTCCACCTCACAAAGTGCCTTGCCCCACACAAGTAGGGAAGGGTAAATGCGCGTTATGAATTCCCTAGCAGGCAGCCACCAAAGCAAACATACTTCGGCCTCAGCACCTCCTTTTGCATTTCATTAGGTAGTATTTGCTTGTTTCTTTCTGTTTCCCCTCTTTGGTACAGATCTGAGACGTTCCAAGCTCAGGATATTTACCGAGTTACATATCTTTACATAACCTAATCCCAAAAAGCTGTACTAAGCTCTAGTTCCTGACTTGTGCATTAGCTTTAACAAAAGGAAAAACACACCTTAAGTACAGCTGGGTCCTACAAATCTGCTCTTGGTCTTACATCAGCACACTTCATTTAAGATCTATCACCTAGCCAGTGGAAAAAGGTCATCATCTTCGCCATTATCTTTGTACACAGCTGATCCAAAGCCAAGCTTCCACATGCATTACTTCTGGTGGGAGTGCCAGCTGAACCAGCTTTTACACATTGTGAACACATTGCGAATGCATTGCTACCGCAGAAAGCAAAAGCAAGAGATTCTTGGGAACAAAAACCTGCCCTACCACCAAATTAATAACAAAACTCTTTTTAAGTTCTTTGCAAAACTTTAGCCATATGCCTTTAAAAATGGACTCCTATGTTGCAGGTACATGTAAAAACATGAGGCCTTTTAAAATTATTTTTAGGAACAAAGGGATATATTTAACTGAGGAAAAGGTTAATACTGAAGTCTGGAAGTGGGCAGGACCCACTTTGGCCTTTTGTTTTTTTCATCCTCACAGATCCGTTCTTTTCTTTCCTGGTGTACGTTCTCAATTCTAAATGCTGAACTCTGATATCTAGTTGTTTCTCTGGCAATAGTGCAAAAACTCCAACTCTACTGTGCTTTTGAGAGAGAAAGTACTTGGATGCTGGAAAGTTGGGACTTATTTGAAACAGTTGCTTCTAAATAATTGGGCAAAAGCAAGTAAGACCATCAGCACTGTGCATTCGTAGCCCCCAAAGCACTCTATAGAAAGTAAATTCTTAATATTCTTATAAGGTTAGTAGAAACTTTACGATCCTCATCTCCAGGTGATGAATCCAAGGCCACAGACTGAAAGGCAGATAGAGCCAAAGGCACTGCTGACAGGTAACTTCCTCATTACACATCTATCAGGTCAACCACCAGACGATGCCTCAAGCAGCCAAGTTTACATAGCTCCTCTTTACTACCCGTTTCATTAGATTAAAAAGCATTTAATTACTCAGCATTTTCTCCCAAGCCCTTTTCCCAGTCTTACCTTTCCTGAAACAGGTTAAATATTAATTCAACCTTTTGAGTAACAGTATTCCTTAAATTGCCAGTGGTGAATGAAAAAGTATGAAGAACATAGGGCATACATGACTCATCTGCAATACATGACTCCCAACATCCGTGGACTTAATCTTGAACACAATACTTTTCATGCAAAACCTATCTTGAGATAGAATCATTTGTCATAACTGAAACACATGCAGAAACTAGGTGTCTTAAGGAAAGGAAAAGAAACAAACACAAGAAAACAACAGCCAAGCATAGCTCATTCTGGTAGGATCATGGGGTATGACTTATGTTTGTGTTGCTTCTTGCCAAAGCCAAACCAGGTGCCATATTAAGTCAAGTAATTCTGTCACGATGCAGATTAGCCACAGATGGCAGCCCTTCATTTTTGAACGAAGCGAGGCATGAATACGAACAGCATGGAATAAAACAAAGAAGTTCAAAGGGGAAAAAAAAATAAAATCAATATTTATAAAAGAAAACAGATGCATTTCATGTGCAAGCCAAAACCACAATTGATTTTATCAAATGCTGTAGCCCTGTATTCAAACCAACTCCGCTTTGCTATTTGATGTATATATTCATAATATGCTGAAGGCTAAAGTTGAAGGCCAAAGCTGAAGGCCAGATTCTGTCCTCAGTTACCACTCTGAAAACATGCTATAAGAGTTCAGTGTAAATTTGATGCAGACTCCAAATTAATAATCAAAGATATGTGATGAATATGTGAAAAGTAAAGCCAAATTTTGAGCAAATTTGTACATATCATTAGAACTCACAAATTTATGTTGAGCTCATTTGTTATACTCTAATGACAAGACAACTGCTACATGCAGCCTATGATGGGTTAGAATCTGAGCTTGTGTAACCTGGCAGGTCTACTAGGGCTATGCAAATTTATTTCATAAGATGATCTGCAAATGTTTTTAATTAATTTTTTTTCTTATTTATACTAGAGATAGGCTCTTATGAAAACTTCCCACTTGCCATATAAAACAGGTTCTCTGAGACATGTGAATTGTACATAAAAAAGTCACACTGTAATACTATGTGATAACATAATGACAAGACAAAACGTCAGAAAAAGTACAAAATACTATATATAAACAGTGAGGGGAGGCTGAAAGCTATCTATGTATTCAAGAAATGCCTCAGAATTAGAGTCAGATAGCTTTACAAAAATGTTATAAGCAACTCTGTGTTGTACGTTATTACATTCTACATCTTATAAAGTTACAATTAATTAAGGTTACCTGTGTAAGAACAAAAATTTTCTTTAGCAAACATCATTTAATTCATAACTGCTAATCTGTAATCAACTGTTCTCAAAACAGACCATTATGAGGAAACAAAATGCTAAATGTCAAGCAAAATGTCAACCATTATGAAAATTCACATCATTAACACGAACAGGTTGATTGATACAGGTGACTTTTTAACACAGGTGAATGTCAACAGTATTCTCTACATCGGGATAAAAAGAAGCACGTAAGGAATAGTCCATTCCATTCAATAATTCTATGACTATTTCTCAAAACAAAACATTGTTTTAAGTAGGAAGCTGAGCGCCCACAGGGGTTACTGTAATTCCAGGTGATGAATACGTTTGAAAAAAAAGCAGTTTTTCTTGAAAGGCGAAATCTTGTTTTACTCAAAGAAAGTGATAAAAATACAAACATGGATTATTTTAAAGTAGAATACTGATTGATGTTTTTCAGAATTGGTGTCAATCACTTTTATGAATTGATTACATACCGAGTTACTTAGAAGTAGCCTCATTTCCTCTCTTTGCAAAGAATGCACTGACTATGGGCAAAATTAGATACTTATGGTGTACTTGTAATATTGCCAGAATACAAAGTTCCATCTGGGCTACAGAAGTCACAGGCAGTACACAGAATACCGTTTTGCTTTTTCAGTTTTCAATGAAAGTGGATCCATTTTAATTACATGAAAGAATTCTATAATCTTTACTACAGAAAGAAAATTTCACTTTAGAAATTAAAAATACAAATACATAAAATACAATGCAACTCTGAAGAGCACCACTCAATTTGTTGTATTATCTTAAGCAATAATACTTATTTGCTTTGTCAAAGGTGTTGTGGGATCAGCTGGTGTCGGCACACTTCAGAGACACTGTATACTATATACACTGATGTTCATGTAGAAGAAACAATTGCTTTCTGCACGCTATAAGAAGCTGTGTTTCATGTAAAAAGTTGTGGACAAAGCTGCTGTTTTGTTGACATGCTGTGTTATGTGTATTACAAAGCCATAAGGTTACTCTATTGTTTTCCATGCAGAAATTCCAAGCCTTGCACATTTTCTGGCACTTCATAAACCATACAGTTAATGTCATGACAAGTTAAAATGCACAGAAAGTTGTTACACTGTGAAATGAAGAGAAATACAGACTGTGACAGACTGAGCAGGCAATGTGAAAGGATATAAAGATATAGACACTTACATATCCGTCATCACAAGGGCTCATAGAGTAATATCCCTTTACGGGCAAACAGACACACATTAAAATAAAGAAGATTAAAAAAAAATAAGTTAACAGAAATAAATCACAGAGAAATGCACAGTTCTAAAAAACCAACAAATCAAAATTAGCTAAAAAATTAACAGACCATTAGCTTTGAAAAGAAAAGTATAAGCACCTTCTCCCAATCCACATACTTGTATGTTTTAGAACTGAAATCAGTGTGTCTCTCTTGTGATATATTTACAAGTTCTCGTTTCAACTGCTGGCAAGCATACCTAGTCTGCACATTATTCCATTATAACTGTCAGTTAGAATAGCTACATACCAAGCACTGACACATTTACGTGAATATGACTTCTCTTGTTCGCTACACTGAAGCAGCTAAGAGAGAGATACCAATGAATGTGATACTGATCAGAAGATCTCAACTTCTGAGAAAGCAGCTGCAAGTATTCTCCATACTTGCTTTGATTGGAGTTTCTCACCAGCAAAAAATGAAAACAGAGAGACAATTTAAGGTGTTTCAGCAATATTATCAATTCCTCATCCCAAAAGGCTTCAAGGATAAATTAAGAAAAAGTATCTGGAAGGAAACCTAAGATTTAGTTACTAAAATAAAAAATTGTGATAATTCATGGTTTGAGTAGTTTAGTACAAAATATGCCATGTTCTCTTTAATTAGACTAAAGTATTTAACTTAGAACAGCTTTGTATCTAAAAAGAACAGTCTTAATTCAAAATAAAAGTACTCAGTTCAACACAATGAAATAAGACCAACATTAATTATTCTGCTTCTAGTCTTTTTGTGCAATACTGCCAATACTTAGAGCACATATTTGTGCAGATGAATAAGCACATACACACTGTATTTATCAGGTTCCTCTTTAACTGATATATATAGCCTTATACAGAAGGTATAAGAAAATTGCCACTCTTCACTGTGAGCAGAAAATAAAGTTCTTTCTATTCTTTAAGCAATTTTAAAAATCTGATGTTATTCTTTCTATTACCATCATACTCAGAATTCCCTGATGTGAATGAGTATTTTAACTTTCACAGTGCTATACACACATACAGACAGTTCCTGGTGAAGACATTTTAACATTAAATTTAAGACAAAGGACAATGTTGATAGACACCAATAAGTGAGTAAAAGAAACAAGGTGATAAAATGTCCTCTCATGATATAGGTTAACACACACATGACCCGAGCCAGTGAAAACATATATAGGCATCAAGACAAAGATGACATTAAAGGGAAGTTTTAACATTAAAAGAAACCACAAAAGGTTGAACCAGACAACCTTTCAAGGTCCCTTCCAACCTGGTCTATTCTATGATTTGAGGACAATAACGGGAAAAGTTTGTGGAAACCCCTACTGATGGCAACACCTTCCCTTTAGGAGGTGAGGAATTTATGCAAACAAAAAAACCTGGCCAAGTTGCTGCAAGTAGTTTTATCACCTGCAGCAACTTGTGAAAAAGGCATCATATATCGTAACAGCAGGAAAAAAAAAGAACTTCTCTTTGCTAACATAGAGGTAGGTTTGTTTCTTCTTTACCATATGTAAGTGGTAACATATAAGAATCATCTCATGGACGGGGATGGAGAATACTGAAATATTTCATCCTAAGAAAAGCTTGCTTAGGGTAGATGCTGTTTGCTGTAATGTGCATATTATTTTTAAAAAAAGTACATCCGCCTAGTGCTTGGTGAATCCACTCTGAATGATTCAGAATAATAAAAAAACCAAAACAAAAAACTTCTGTTACTCTGTCTTCTGGGTCTCATGTGGTCTCCTGGTGCAGAAAACTCTTTCACAAGTAAGAAACAGAATACCTGCCACCAACTATTACAGCTTGACGGCATGTTCACCTTTGCAGTAAAAAGCATGTTTGAGGAAAAAAGTACAGAACGTAAGAAAAAAAAAAAGGAGCCCATGCTAGTCTTTACAGCTATTCCAGAAAATTAAAAAAAAAAAATTCTTCCTTGTTCACAGTTTGTAAATGACAGTTTAACTTTACAGAAGAGCTGGTGCTTTTGTCCAGTGATAGAACAAAACCAAAAAAAAGTAATTTTTCCACAGCTTCAAGAGTTGTGCCAAAAGAGACCTAAAACTTACAAAGGATATTAATTCACCTAATTGTAGCTACAGGTAAATATAATCAGACTGAATGGCAGTAAGAACATAATGGGAATTTATTCTATTCCATGCCACTGGAGCAATATATGCAAACAACTATACAGCTTTCTAGTCACAGAAAGATTCTCCAGTGGTTAACAGACTTCTTGACTATTGACAGAAACTACGCATCTGAAGAAGCAGTTCCTGTTTTCCCTTTAATCCGAAGTTTAGAGAATCTTACTACATTATTCCAAATCCAAGAAATTCCAGGAAGGTGTACATCTTACTTGAATTAGAAAACCTATTTGTGGGCCTATGTATAGCCTATGCTACTTTTGATGAGGAGCTAATGTACAACGCTTCAGTGATAAATCATAGAATCACAGAATGCTTTGGGTTGGAAGGGACCTTTAAAGGTCATCTAGTCCAACCCCCCTGCAATGAGCAGGGACATCTTCAACTAGACCAGGTTGCTAAGAGCCCCATCTAGTCTGTCCTTGAACGTGTCCAGGGATGGGGCATCTATCACCTCTCTGGGCAACCTGTTCCAATGTTTCAATACCGTCATTTTGAAAAATTTCTTTCTTATATCTAGTCTAAATCTACCTTCCTTTAGCATAAAACCATTACCCCTTGTTCTGTCACAACAGGTCTTGCTAAAAAGCCTGTCCCCATCTTTCTTATAAGCCCCCTTTGAGCACTGGAAGGTTGCTCTAAGGTCTCCCTGGGGCCTTCTCTTCTCCAGGTTTAACAGCCCCAATTCTCTTAGCCTGTCTTCACAGGGGACGCACTGCAACCCTCAGATCATCTTCATGGCCTTCCTCTGGACTCGCTCCAACAGAAGAGCCAGAATCCTCTTGGCTTCATGATGTGTATTAAACAGAAAATTGCAGGCACCAAAAAAACCTACAACACATGCTTCTTACCCATCAGACAAAACACTGTTACAAAGAAAAAAAAAAAGTAAAAAAAACCCAACCAACTTCTTATCTCAAGAGTATTAGCAATGTAAGGAACTATGATAGATCACTGTATTTAAAACTATTCTTTTCAAATTTGCCATTACCCACATCAGCTCCCTGTCCAAATGAACATTAGAAAGTCAAGAATCTGATTAGATCTTCAAATGAATGTTTCCTGAGCTTGCCAGACCTGCTGCTCTGACCTCCTGTTCTTAGATCCAGACCTTTTGCTCTGACAATTCTCTCAGGTTTCTTATTGCCCAATTCGGGACCACAGATGTCAAATGACACGATGGAAGATGGCAATAACATTGAAATGCAGCTAGGAAAAAAGCCTTATGGTAAAATAGAACTTTAGAGAAGCCTTGGAAACATCTTCTAACTATAACACAGTAGTGTGGCCTCTCTCCCACTACATGTAGCAGATGCATCCTGTTAATGGATTGTAGATCAGGCTCACAAGTGACCCAGGAGGTTACAGAGCTGGCAAGAGGCATGAAGTTGCTCTGCAAAAGAAGATCCAAGGCAACTTAGCGGAGAGCACAAAGCAACAGCCAACACCAGAAGCCCTTGCTAAGTAAGATTTCGTGGGTATGATTACACTGGGAAAGTCTTTTGGTTAAGAGATGTCATTGCCTCAGGTCTTAAAGCCAGCTTGGTAAGAAAGACTCATTCTGGGATTTGTCCTCCCGATACAAATTTCTTCCAGCATGAAAGGACAGGCCTCCAGCCACAGAGTCATGAGCAAACCAGGAAGCTGATGGTTGTACAGTAACAGCACACATTAGTAAGTGATACATGCTACCTTTATTGTAATTTCGAAGCCCAAGATCTCAAGGCTTTATATTATACAATACTACTTTCCTGACATCAAAAACTGAGCAGAGTACAATGCACTGGGAACAAAATCAAGTTTGCATACAAATAACGCTACCAAGGATATAATCTGAGGCATACTCTTTAATTTCCTTGGGCAATACTTCATTTTGGTTATAGCACTGGTACAGTCCTTGCTAATGGTTATTCTGGTTATTTCCTTGCTAATGATTTTCTTTTTTTCTATTTAGAGATACTGATCCGCCAAAACTAATTTATTTTAAGGATGATGCGAGCGAGATAGGGACGGCTCCTGAACACTCAAGG